GAGGTTGGGTTGAGTTCAGGGGTGAGGCCAGGGGACAGGGTTGGGTTCAGGGGATGGGCCTGAGGTTGGGTTGAGTTCAGGGGTGAGGCCAGGGGGCAGGGTTAGGTTCAGGGGAGGGCCCTGAGAATGGGCTGAGTTTAGGGGTGAGGCCTGGGGACAGGCTGGGACTGGAGGCGGGACATGGGGGTATGAGTCCAGGGATGGGGTCAAGAGCTCTGAATTTCAGGACATGAGAGCCATGCTGACACATCTGCAAGACAAGTCTTGTTTGAACCCAGAAAGCCAAGTACATTTTTGGCGGGAGATTTCCCCTTTCACCTGTCCTGCCATATGTCCTCCAGCCCTGTGGGGGGCAGTGGAGCTACAACTCTTCTCCATTCATCAGCTGGGAGGAAATGCATTATCCTTATTAAAAAGTCACATAGCTTAGACTTGCAGGATCGGAATATATTATGTCGCTGTGAAGGGTCAGTTAAAGCCTCCCTTTGCACTGATGCAATTAATCAAATGTCTTCCTCTGTGTCCCAGCAGATGGCTTTTAAATAATTATTTGGCTAAGCTCTTTGCATAAGAAATTCTGTGCTCCTTCTTAGCGAAGGATTAAGCTCCCTATCTAACAACATTCAATTCAACAGCGCCGACTTCAGAGGGGCCGCTTTGTCGAGCATGCTGCAGAAGACAGCCTTCGGTTTCTAAATCGCTAATTTGACATATTTGTTAAACTGTGAGTCAAATATGCTTCAGCCCTGTTTCATAAATCCCCAGACTCAATCCCATCAACTGCGCCGGCCGAGTCACTGATCCATGACCGAATCCGTCTCATTTAGCTGGGAACGCCGGTCGGGAAGATTCAGTTTTTAATAATGCGACATTAAGACGCCGGCGCGCGGTACAGATGAAAATTTCTCCCGCCGCAGGATCTGTGGCGAGGAGAGACCGGTGTACGATCTGCGCGGGACTCACAGAGAGAGGGCCAGGGACACGGAGGAACACTGCTCTTGCTCTGGCCAGGGGCGGAGCAGCTCAAGACAGCAGAGGCGGGCACAGCCGAACAACGGCCCAGGCCGAGAGACGGGTGTCCCTCAAGAGAGTAGAAATCTGTCCCAGCGTGATGATCGAAGGAACAGGAAGCTGTGGGCGGTGCAGGCTGTTCCAACGGGGGGCTTGTCCCCTGGCGCCCGGGACGTGGCTGGACTGTCCCACAGCGGGATATACTGACACTCCTCAGCACTCTCTTCCACAGCCCTGAGCTCTGCGGCTCGGCCAGCACACACGAGCCAACACCCAGGGTTACACACTCGTGGCGCCCACTGACATACCTGCTCAAAATCACGCTCGTCGAAATAGTGCATTATTATTCAATAACAACGGTCAAAATCCCCCCTGTGACACCCCCTGCCAGCCCTGCTGAAAAGACCTGGGTCTAAGAGCAGGAGTCCCCCCTGTGACACCCCTGCCAGCCCTGCTGAAAAGACCTGGGTCTAAGAGCAGGAGTCCCCCCTGTGACACCCCTGCCAGCCCTGCTGAAAAGACCTGGGTCTAAGAGCAGGAGTCCCCCCTGTGACACCCCTGCCAGCCCTGCTGAAAAGACCTGGGTCTAAGAGCAGGAGTCCCCCCTGTGACACCCCTGCCAGCCCTGCTGAAAAGACCTGGGTCTAAGAGCAGGAGTCCCCCCTGTGACACCCCTGCCAGCCCTGCTGAAAAGACCTGGGTCTAAGAGCAGGAGTCCCCCCTGTGACACCCCTGCCAGCCCTGCTGTAAAGACCTGGGTCTAAGAGCAGGAGTCCCCCCTGTGACACCCCTGCCAGCCCTGCTGTAAAGACCTGGGTGTACTGTATGGGCAGTTGTCTGGAGCGCGGGATACTCACGGCACATTTCTCCCTCGTCGTCTCCATGCGGGCAGTCAGTCTGGAAGTCGCACATCTGGCCCAGGCTGATGTCGGGCCCGGACCTGCAGCGGTACCGGCCCTGCAGGGTGATCCGTGGGCTGGGGGGCGAGGCTGCAAGTACCAGGAGACAGCATCACCATCAGGGCAGGAGAACAACTGAACATCACTAGGAGCTTGAACCAGAAGGAAACGCGCGCAAGCACCTTACCTCCCTTTCCAGTGAAGCCTTTGAACACTAAAAATATTTCTTGATTTTTATTGCACAGTGGATTTTTGGAACCCTGCTTGGACGTTCCTCTGCTCCCTGTGAGTGGGGTTCTTTGCGGAGTCTGTGACAGACTTGCTGATACACACAGGAGGTAACAGTGGGATCATACTGTGCTCAGAGAATGGCTGGGAAGAAGGTACATAAAAACAAACACCTTGCTGTAGGGAGTGGTAACAAAACACAGTGTGAGCTCTATGATGGCTCAGACAGTGGCCTAATCCAGAAGAAGATCTGACTTTTTAATCCCAGCTCTGAGGCTGCAGCACGTGTCTGGATGTTGGTGTATTAGATTTGTAGAAACAAGCCTTGATTTAATTGCCCAGGTAGACTCAGTTCCAGCTTGCAGGAGAGAACGGGCAGGCTCCCTGGGTAACTCTTGAGTCTGGAGTGGGTGGTGTGCCTGCACAGCACTATGAGCAGAGGAACGTCATGCAAGACAACCAGTGGGCTCTCAGAGCTTTGCAAACGGCACCACGCCAGCAGAGCTCAGCTGAGGAGAGTGTTTGTTCTGACACTGGCAGAAGAGTTCACACCCTGCAGATCTCACTGCGAGTTTCTCAAAAGCTTGCAGTACTGATAGTTTGAAGCAGCAATTAACATGGGTTATACACACAGCTTTCATCCACACATTTAAAGGAAAAAGCAAACAGAAGTAAACAGATAATTAATTTGAAAGAAAAATGGATTGAAACTGTGGGATTCCTGGTCTTCGTCACGGGCACTGTGAAACTGTGGGATTCCTGGTCT